GTATAAGCGTTACAACTGTCGTTATAAACATGTGAACCGACTTCCGGCAATGTCCGTGATGTTTACAACCGTTTGCGTTTATCTTCAAGTTTACAAGTTGGATTAATGAAAAACAAAACACGAAGAGGTGTGCGTTTTGATAATGCTTAGATGCGCGTTTTTTCGCAGTTATGTATACAGTAAGTAGTCTCATAAATACTTTGATAAATTATTTAAATACTGTAACTAGAGTGGCTGAAAAAAACGGGTGGACCGACGGTCCATTTAACTTGTTAAATTTACTGGACCGAGAGAGATTTTGGTGGTCTCGGACCACGGTCCACCGCCTATAACGTCGAAGACTGTACTCATCATAATCAAGAAAGCCAGTGAACTTCTGCCAAATTGTTGTCGATTACTGTTGCAGGCGCAGTACATCGACTTGAGAGACAGGTTTACCGGCGACATCTGGACCTGTGAAATTCTCTTGGATATGATTGCCTGGATGCATCCAACATTCACCTTCAAATGGGCTCTACAGGTAAAGTGTTGCGGGAAGGCCATCTGAACATTTCGCAACCTCACAATCGCTTCTGTCACCGAATAGATAACTTGGGGCGCGTTTGTTTGGAACAAATCCGTCTGATCAGGATCACTTGATCCAGATGAGACGGGATACTAGAGAAGCGTTGCCGAAAGGAGGTGTTGACCCGAAGTGCTGAGCGCAGATCTTGCGCGCAGTTCCGCGGCAAGGCGCACGCGACCGCGGGAACGTCCTACGACAGTATGCAGCGCTGGCAGCTATGGATCCGTGCGCCGAATGCTTAGGCTGGCGCACGCATCCATAGCTGCCAGCGAACAGTCCACAATTTTAGTGGGGGACACAGAGGGCAGACATTTGGGACGTGAACAGTGTTCACTTGTTATAAAAACATAATGTCTCTGTTCGTAACCGAGCTGTGTCACGTGAAATCACAGAAAAAATGACGAAATTTTCGCGTTCGCGAACCTTGCCCAGTAATGGAAATGGTTGCAAGGACAAAGGCTATATAGACTGGGACTCGCTCCCACCTCGATTACCCATCGAGTGACTAAGCTAAGCCGAGAGGTGGAAGCGAGTGCCAGTCTATGGGCTATAGGCGGCGCGCAGGCGGCGCATTGCTTTCCAACTCCCGTACGAGCCTCGCCATTGGAACGTTGCAAAAACGTTGCAGTGTTGCGGCTGACAGCC